GCAGAGGATTTTAAACTTTGCTGCATCTAAGAATGCCCTGGTGAGTTGTAAAAGGTACTGAGGCTCAGGTTGGAAACCAGTCAAATTAAATCAGAATATCACATAGAGATTCCTTCCTCTTCTACTCTGTCCACACACAGTGAGAAAGTGTGAAGCTAGAACTCAAAGCCAGTTCCTCCAACTCCAGATGCTGCCATCTGTAAACACTATCAGTCTTATCAGTCTCAGGGCACCTGGGTGGCTCAGTCGTTAAGCATCTGACTGGCTCAGGTCATGATCCCAGGGTCCTCGGATTGAGCCTCGTGTTGGGCTCCCAGCTCGGTGGGAAGCCTGCTTCTCCCTTCTGCCACTCCCCTGATTTCGTTCCCCTCTCTCGCTGTGTCTCTCTTCTGTCAAATAAACAGAATCTTAAAAAAAAAAAAAGCGAAACAACAAAAAACAAAACAAAAAAACACTATCAGTCTCAAGAAGTGAGGCCAGTTACAACTGGGCACTAGCTACAAAAATAAAGACTTTATGGGGTGCCTGGGTGGCTCAGCTGGTTAAGCATCTGCCTTTGGCCCAGGTCATCATCCCGGGGTCCTGGAATCGAGCCCCGAGTTGGGCTCCCTGCTCAGCAGGGAGCTGGCTTCTCCCTATCCCTCTGCTGCTCCCACTACTGTGCTCTCTCTCTGTCAAATTAATAAACGAAATCTTAAAAAAAAAAAAAAAGACTTTAAAATGAAAGAGGGAGGATTGCCCAAGAGGCGGATTGCCGGGAAATTATAAAGAGTTTAGGAGGCAAGTTACTTGAGGAGTCAAACTAGAGAGAATCAATACGTGGGCACATACTCTCTCCCTCTTCCAGACATGGTGGAAATATTCCGGCGTGAAACACCCCCTTGACGAAATGTGAAAAAAAGAACTGACCCACACAACACTGCCTGACTACACTGTGTCTCCAAAGAATGAAATGAATCCGAGGGGCAGGCAGGTCTCCGATAAAATCTCCTTGATGATAATTACTGTCGGACAGAGATATGGGCCTCTGAGGCCGAGAATGGCGTGGCAAATTTTTTTTGTACTTAATAAGGGTGTAATATAGAGCGAAGAATAAATCGAAATTAGAATGTCTCATACAATCTATTCAGTAAAACATTTTCCTAGTCAAGCTAATGGATATCCCCTTAGCTCTAAATTCACCTACGAGAAAATGACTTGTCACGGATGTCAAGGAATCCTGAGAAGTGAAGATCAGATTCTCTAGATCATCATAAAATATGGAGCTCCCTTTTCATGATCTTCCAGTGACAATTTACCAAGCCCTCTCCTTCTGACTCATGCCCTGATGCAACAGGACTGCGCCGATGGCCAGTGGGATCAGAACCCCTGCCTAGAGATCGGGATTAGAAGCCCAGGTCAGAACTGCCAGGGCAATTCTGAATAGTAGGAGGCAAATGTTCCAGGCATCCCAGCCACCGATGCTGCCAGCATCGTTTTGTCTTCTCAGGGCTGACATCAGCAGTAGAATCCCCCTCCCCAACCTAAGTCCTCCCCCGGTTTTGGCAGCAACTTCTCCGATTTGTGGCAAAGAATAAAGTACAAGTTATGCCCCCATTTATTTTTGTTTTGTTTTAAATATTTTATTTATTTATTTGACAGACAGAGATCACAAGTAGGCAGAGAGGCAGGCAGAGGGGGCGGGGAAGAGAGCCAGACATGGGGCTTGATCCCAGGACCCTGGGATGGTGACCTGAGCAGAAGGCAGAGGTTTTAACCCGCTGAGCCACCCAGGCACCCCATTTGAATATATCTTTCTTCCCTTTGCAAACCCCTAAGAAAACTCCACTCTGTAAACTCATAGATCTATTGTCTTGACCCTTGCCAGACCTCAGACATGTAGGTACTTTTTCTGGTTGGCCCCCAGCTCCAGCATGGTTTCTGGGATCTGTAAGTTCTCTGCCCTGCGTTAACCATTGCCTTTTTTGGGGGGAATGCTGCCTTGTATGGAATCAGCCCAAGAAATCTTTAAAGAGAGAGAGAGATACGGGCATTGGGCATTGGATTCCCACTTTGGGGGATAAAGACAAAAAGAACAAAAGTTTTAGGCAGACAATAGACCCTGTCAATAAGACTAGGTGAAACTAAAGGACATGAATGCTTTGCTGAGGAAGATGGAACATGGTGAGGGAGGGACGGGAGGACACAGTGCAATGGGAAAAACACTGATTCTGCTGCAAGCCTTTTTTAAAAGCACGTGTGCCAGTCCTGAGCAGGGAGGCAAGCTGGCTCCTGCACACCCTAGGACCACCACCACCACCACCACAACACACACACCCCAAATTCTGAGGCAATACTCATGTTTAAGTCTAGGAGAAGCCCACCAGATAGCAGACTAGGCACTCTTCTGGGATGATCAAAGGGATTTCCTTATCTGATAGGATCTCAAGTGGCAAGAAGGAGTCAGTGCCTCTTTGGAATGCCTTCATAGAAGAAAGAAAGGGGACATGGGCACACCTAA